TCCATATTTGTGCCCATTCCAAAGAAAGGTGATCCAACCGAATCTAGAAATTTTGGAACAATATCATTAATATCACACGCAAGTAAAGTTTTGCTGAAGATAATACAAAAATGGTTGCAGCAGTACATCGACAGAGAACTGCCAGAAATTCAAGACAGATTCAGAAGAAGACGTGGAAGGAAGGATATCATTGCTGATGGTGTTGCCGGGCAGAAATCCAGGTTCTGCTAGGCGTGACTTGTTACAGCCAATAAACAAGAGACTGAGGTGGGAGGGAAGAAAGCCATCTTTATTTCATTGTACAAGGAAAGGAGCAATCAGGGGCTGTTGCCTCCAAGACTGCTTGCAGGCAGCTTGGGGAGGTGGGCTTTTACAGAGAGCAGACAAGGAAATGCAAATTCATCATGAATATTCAGGACTGACCTTCACGCAGGCGCTCAGGGCTTGGGGATGACTATGCATTTTCTCTAGACTAGGATTTGACTCTGCAGGATGGAGGAAGAGGTCGATTTTTCTTCATTAGCATGTTAAGTCTCCACCCAGAGGCAGAGTGCTTTTATGTACTTTTCACTTAATGAGTTAATAGGTCACTTGAAGTGTTAAGATGGCATAGAAAACCTGCTAAAACTCGCTGAGGCCTGCTATGCTATGGCCCGTTTTGTGGTTATCTTGTCAAGGACAATTTCAGAAGAATGTGCAGCCTATTCTGCTCAGTATAGGAGGATAAGCCAGAGCAGGTGTCTCTTAGAAGTGCTGAGCTCTGAGGCTGCCTGGCTCAATGTCAGATGGCTCTTGGCTGAAAGCAGAGAACACTAGAAAGATTTTTACCTGTATTTTATTGACTATGGAAAGGCCTTCTTCTTTGTGAATCATAACAAATTATGGATAACATTGTGAAGAACTGGAATTCCAGAACACTTAATTGTGCTCATGCAGAATCTGTACCTAGAACAAGATGCAGTTGTTTGAACAGAACAAGGGGATACTGCGGGTTTAAAATCAGTGTGTGTCAGGGTAGTATCCTTTCACCATACTTATTAAATTTGTAAGCTGAGCAAATAATCCAAGAAGCTGGACTGTATGAAGAAGAACAGGACATCCAGATTGAAGGAAGACTCATTAACAACCTGCGTTATGCGGATGACACAACCTTGTTTGCTGAAAGTGAAGAGGACTTGAAGCACTTACTGATGAAGATCAAAGACCACAGCCTTCAGTATGGATTACACCTCAACATAAAGAAAACAAAACTCCTCACAACTGGACCAATAAGCAACATCATGATAAGCGGTGAAAAGATTGAAGTGGTCGAGGATTTCATTTTACCTGGATCCACAGTCAACGCTTACAGAAGCAGCAGTCAAGAAATCAAATGATGTATTGCAATGGGCAAATCTGCTGCAAAAGACCTCTTTAAAGTGTTGAAAAGCAAAGATATCATTTTGAGGACTAAGGTGCGCCTGACCCACACCATAGTATTTTCAATCGTCTCATATGCATTCTTATGCTGGATAATAAGTAAGGAAGATGGAAGAAGAATTGAAGCCTTAGAATTATGGTGTTGGCAAAGAATATTGAATATACCATGGACTGCCAAATGAATGAACAAATATGTCTTGGAAGAAGTAGAGCCAGAATGATCCTTAGAAGAAAAGATGGTGAGACTTCGTCTCACATACTTTGGACATGTGATTAGGAAGAACCAGACCCTGGAGAAGGACATCATTTTTGGTAAAGCAAAGGTCAGCGAAAAAGAGGAAGACCCTCAACAAGATGGACTGACATAGTGGCTGCAACAATGGGCTCAAGCATAGCAAGGATTGTGAGGATGGTGCAGGACCAGGCAGTGTTTCATTCTGTTGTCCATAGGGTCGCTATGAGTTGGAACTGACTTGATGGCACCTAACCACAACAACAACATTGGTGACTAATAAACATGCCTGGTAAGCAATTTAAGTGTGTCTTCCTCAATAAAATTGGGGGCAGGAAGTTAAGTCTTCAGCATTTTTGTGTTCCTAGCATCAACACTAATGCCTAACCACTTGTCATCGAGTTGACTGCAACTCCCAACCACCACATGTGGGTCAGAGTAGAACTGTGCTCCACAGGGTTTTCAAGGGCTGCTTTTTCAGAAGTAGATCAGTAGGCCTTTCTTCTGAAGTGCCTCTGGGTGGACTTGAACCTCCAACTTTTTGGTTAGCAGCTGAGTGTGTTAACTGTTTGCACCTCCTGGGGACTCATCACTAATGCCTAGCACCTGGTAAAACGCGAAATAAATATCTGTTCTTCGTGGCAGAACAACAAACCCATTGTTGTCTAGTCAGTTCTGACTCATAGTGACCCTATAGCACAGAGTAGAACGGCCCCATAGGGGTTTCAAGGCTGTAATGTTTATGAAAGCAAACAGTCACATCTTTTTCCCATATTGTGGCTAGTGGGTTCAAACCACTGACCTTTCGGTTAGCAGCCGAGCGCTTAACCACTGTGCAACCAGGGTCCTTTGGCTATCTCCCAGGCGTCCCCCAAACAGTTTCCAATGTTTTTCCAAGTAGAAAGGAAGTCAGTGGGAGTTACTGTTGGGAAAAGAAGGTAGGATGGCTCATGTGTGTGATAATGAGAAGTGGGTATACAGATAGATTCAGTAATAACTTTTACTGCATATGATAAGCAACAAGTGAATTATCTCATGCAATCCTCAAAACAACTCTGTGAGGTAAGTAGAATTATTTTGCCTATTTTACAAAAGTAGAAAATTAAGCTTAGCAAGGTGGAATGACCCACCCAAGGTCACTTATCCAAGCTAGAATGTGCTGTTACTAGAGTTTGGAACCAGGTAGCATGAATGAGTTAAGAGTCTATGCTGATGATAGCAAGGTTCCTAAGCACCGTAAAGTAAAAGCAAAGTAATTTTCCTCCAGTTATTCTTTATATTCAGGCCAAAGAAAAACTTCTTTCATGGCTTCTTACAGAAAGGACATTATGTGGTATGAACAATATCCTCAACAGACATCTTAAGCTGAAAACGTGATTTTATAAGGGATGTTTATTATTTAAAATGTTCTTCACTAGAGAACTTTCTATATCCACAGAGGGTGAAAATCTTTGAAGGTTGAACTTGATTTTTATAAACTCTCGAAAGTCACTTAGGCCAGGGCCAGGGATGGTGGTGGGAGATATTGACTGGGCACAAGGGGACTTCCTGGAGTAATGGAAATATTCTGTATCCATTGTGATGGTTGTAACCCAGGTGTATACATTTATCAAAACTTATTGAACAGCACACAGAATAGGTGCATTACATGTAAATTATACCTCAATAAGGTTAGTTTTTTTTTTTTTTTTTAAGCTCTTATGTCAAGTCTGAAGTCCTGGTGGCTCAGTGGTGAAGAGCTTCACTGCTAACCAAAAGATTGTCAGTTCAAATCCACCAGCTGCTCCTTGGAAACCCTATGGAGCAGTTCTACTTTGCCCTATAGTGTTGCTATGAGTCAGAATGCACTATATGGCAATGAGTTTGGTTTGGTGGTTATGCCTAGTCTGGGTCATTACAGCACAAAAGATAGGTATGTTGTTAGTTGCCCCCTAGTCCGCTCCAACTCATAGTGACCTTATGTATAACAGAATGATACCTGGTTATCTTAGTCATCTAGTGCTGCTATAACAGAAATGCCACAAGTGGATGGCTTTAACAAACAGAAATTTATTCTCTCACAGTCTAGTAGGCTGTAAGTCCAAATTCAGGGCATTGGCTCCAGGGGAAGCCTTTCTCTCTCTCTGTCGGCTTTGGAGGAAGGTCTTTGTCATCAATCTTCCCCTGGTCGAGGAGCTTCTCAGCGCAGGGGCCCCTGGTCCAAAGGACGTGCTCTGCCCCTGGTGCTGCTTTCTTGATGGTATGAGGTCCCCACTCTCTGCTCGCTTCCCTTTCCTTTTATTTCTTGTAAGATAAAAGGTGGTGAGGTGGTGCAGGCCACACCCCAGGGCAACTCCCTTTACATTGGATCAGGGATGTGACCTGAGGTGTTTCATCTCACCCTAATCCTCTTTAACATAATCTATTCTTGCCTCATTAACCACAGGCAGAGATTAGGATTTACAACATATAGGAAAATTACAATCACAAAATGGAGGCAACCACACAACACTGGGAATCATGGCCTAACCAAGTTGACACATATTTTTGGGGGACACAATTCAATCTATGACACTGGTTCTGCACCATCCTTACAATTACTGCTCTGCTTGAGCCCGTGGTTGCAGCCACAATGGTCTAGGTCTAGCAAAGCAAAAATTTGCAGAAGTATATAGAATACGTGCATGTAGTTAACTCTAATTCTCCTTAAGAGACATTATTCATTGATTTAGAAAAAGAAAGTTCCTAATTTTCCGTTGCTTTTGTTTATTGTCAGGACGAAAAAAATTCCATACTGCTGCCAAATAAGTAGTGAGTTCAAATTAATTTAATCCTTACAACCACCCTAAGATTCCCACTAATAGCGATCCTATTTCACAGAGTAGAATGGCCCCATAGGGTTTCCTGGGCTGAAATTGTTTTCATTTGCTGGTGAGTTCCAACCTCCGACCTTCCCTTTAGCAGCCAAGCCAGCGCTTAACTACTGCTCCACCTGGGCCCCACCCTAAGAGGTAGGTACCAGTACGATCCCATTTTTAGGGATGAGGGGCCCAGGACCTAGCAAAGGTCTCTCAGTGCCCTTTTCCAAGAATCTGGGGACACACTAGCACGCTGAGCCCAGGAAAGCGGGGCAGGGAGGAAAGGTCCAGGCGTCAGTCAGGAGCCACGCATGAGTTACTGCCAGACAAAGCGGCGGCCGAACCAGGGACGCGACCCCACCGCCCTCCTGAGCTGCGGTGACGAAGTCCCGTCGGCCCCGCGCGGAGCGGAAGGGCGCTGCGCTGCTGGGGAGCCGCTCTCGAGGCCCGGCCGCCAACACTAGGGTGGGCCCAGCCGTAGCTCAGGACGCCTCCCACGGCCTGGAGAGCCAGGCTCGCCCCGCCCGGCCCCTCGCGCTTCTCCCTCGCGGTGTGCGCTCGCGCCCCCGCAGACCCGGTGCAGACAGGCCTCTCCCTGCGCCCGGAGCGCCCAGAACCGCGGCCCCGCCCGGGTCCCGCTGCAACCAGGTAACTCCACCTCCCCGACCCGGAGCGCAGACCTGGGGAGGTCCCGCTGCCCGGGAGTTGCGGGTGTTGTTGACAGCCAGGTAAACGCTAACTCCCCAAAGTTGTTTCAGTTAAAAGAAAAAAAAGCTCCGCCATTCTCAGTGTGTCCTGAAAGTGGCAGGGCCCCCAGGATTTCCTGGTGCGGCGGCGGGTAGCACCGTTTTGCAAATTTTGTGCGTGTGTGTGTGCGTGTGCGTGTGTGTGTGTGCGCGCGCGTGTGCGCGCGCGTTGACCACCCAAAAAACAGAGGACCATCAGGAAGCAGCTGCCCAGACCACAGCTCTGAAAGTACAGTTCCGGTGGAAGAATGTAAACTGAAGGTTCAGAGGAGTTTAAGGAACGGGAGGGCTCTGAAAGTGGGAGGTAGAGCGGTATGGGTGAAAAGAAAAAGAATCTCCCACGGAAAAGATGTTGGTTAACCTCCCCCCACCCCACCCTCCACCCTAGCCACCTGCAATACACAAAAAACACGCATATCGGGGTGGACTCAGAAGGAAAACCCAGGCTACAGTACAGTGGGTTAAAAGTCATCAGATGCCAACTAAACTTGGTCTCTGAAGATCTTAGCATAGGGACCTCAGGGAGTATCCATTAATCTTCTCCACTTTTACAGTCCTCCCCAGCCAGGAATTTACAGGTGCTCCAGGGTGGATGACTTGTCCATAATCATAGCCAGAACTCCAGTTCCTAGTCATCAGTTTTAATTAGTAACATATGTACATAACGTTTTACAAATATCCTTTGTGAGCCAAGAAAGTCAGCATGATCAGTAACTGGGTGTTGGTCTGTCCAGTCATTATCATGTCCTTGGTCTCTAGGTGCTCCTAGAGCCTGCATTCCACAGCAGTGCAGCCAGAGGAGGACTTCTGCAAGGGCAGGACTTCAACTAAACTCTCAGAAAAGTTTAGTTGCGGAGGGGAGGAAGGGCATCCTGGTTGAGTAAGTTAAGTTTAGGTAAGGGGAGGGGAGGAAGGGTGTCCTGGGTGAGTAAGTTAAGTTTAGGTAAGGGGAGGGGAGGAAGGGCATCCTGGCTGAGTAAGTTAAGTTTAGGTAAGGGGAGGGGAGGAAGGGTGTCCTGGGTGGTTAAGTTCAGTTTAGGTAAGCCAAGGGGAGGAAGGGCATCCTGGGTGGGTAAGTTCAGTTAAGGGGAGGGGAGGAAGGGCATCTTGGGTGAGTAAGTTAAGTTTAGGTAAGGGGAGGGGAGGAAGGGTGTCCTGGATGAGTAAGTTCAGTTTAGGTAAGGGGAGGGGAGGAAGGGCCTCTTGGGTGGGTAAGTTCAGTTTAGGTAAGGGGAGGGGAGGAAGGGCATCCTGGGTGGGTAAGTTAAGTTTAGGTAAGGGGAGGGGAGGAAGGGCGTCTTGGGTGGGGGAAGAACTTGAGCTGACATGAGAATGAGCTAGTCCACCAGGCCCCTAAAAGGGCCACAACAATGGATTCAGACATACCAATCATCAGGAAGATGACATAGGTCCTGAAAGCGTTCTTTCTGTTATATATAAGGTCATGAGTCATACATGTTATACGTGTGTCAGAGCCATCTTAGTGGCAACAGCAAAGCCAGTACAGATGGGGCTGGATGGATAGATGAAGAGCTTTGAATCTGAATGCCACAGGCAATAGGACACCAATGGGAAATTGACTGAAGGAAAGGGACATTTAGGAGATGCACCCATGGAGAAACAGCGCCGTACCAGGGATTAAAATCATAGATAGATTAGCTGAGCTCCCAATACTCCAGAAGTTAATAATTTAGAAGAAAAACAAAGTTTAAATATTGATACTGGAGGGAAGGTTATGGGGAGAAAGTGTTCTAGTTCAGTAAATAGAAGAATGTTTTCTTTGTTGTGTATGAATAATGAAAATAAAAGTACAAAATAGTGCTTGCTATCTGCCAAGCACTGTTCTAAGTCCTTTATACAAATTAACTCATTTACTTCTCACAGCAAACACACGAAGTAGTTGCTATTTTTATTATCACCATTTTACAGATGTGGAGGCTGAGGCATAAGAGAGGTAAATCGGTCTAGGCTGAGACAGAGGGGTAAAATCAAGCATCCTGGCCTGGAATCAGAAAATTTGGGTCCCAGTGCCTCCACTCTGTGGTTGTGTGAATTTAATCTATCTGAGCCTCAGTTTTCTTATCGTGAAATGCATATTGTACTCTCTCCCTACCAGGTGAGATGGTGAATATGCAGGTGTGTGGTGAACTGTGCATTGTGACACCAATAGAAGGTATTATTTAAGTAAAGAAGGGATAACTTCCAAGGCTAAATCCCAAATGGAAAGAGCAAATGACTAGCTTGATTTGACTCGCAGAATTTAGTGGGCTTTCTCCTCACAGAGACACAAAATGGAGTGGTAGTTAAAAGGATGGGCTTTGGAATCAGACTGGTCTAAGTTTGAATCCCAGCCACTTACTGGCTGTGTGACTTGAGACAAGTCACATAACATTTCTGCGTTATTGCTGTGATTCCGACCTTATGCATATGTAAAATGGGCCTAATTATTCCTTACAGAGCGGCTGTGAGGGTTAAATGAGAAAATGTATGTAAAGCACTCACTACAGAGTCCCTAGGTGGTGCAGACAGTTAACACACTTAGTTACTAACTGAAAGGTTGGAAATTCAAGTCCACCCACAGGCACCTCAGAAGAAAGGCCTGACAATCTACTTCTGAAAAAATCAGCCATTGAAAACCCTCTGGAGCACAGTTCTACTCTGACACCCATGGTGTTGCCATGAGTTGGAATCGACTCCATGGCAACTGGTTTTTACAGTGCCTGCAAATAGTAAGTGCTCAATAAAATGTAGATAGGGCTATTATTTTTTCTAATTCTTCTTCCTCCTCATTTTCCTTCATGTGTCGTAGTTTCTGCCCAGAGACAGCCTCTCAGAGCCCACCATGTGTGGGGGGCTGATGGAGAAGTACGTGGCTGCCATGGTGCTGAGTGCAGCTGGCGATGCCTTGGGATACTTCAATGGAAAGTGGGAGTTCCTCCAGGATGGGGAGAAGATTCACCAGCAGCTGGCCCAGCTTGGAGGCTTGGACGCCATAGATGTGGGGAGGTGGAGAGTCAGTGATGACACAGTGATGCACCTGGCCACAGCAGACGCTCTCATAGAGGCTGAGAAAACCAGGGACTTGGCTCGACTGTATTCCCTCTTTGCTAAGCATTACCAAAACTGCATGGAAGACATGGACGGCCGAGCGCCAGGTAAGTGCAACCAGTGGAGGTCCTGGGAGGGCAGAAAATAATACAGGCCAAGGGAATCATTAAAAATGTTGATAGAGGAGAGGGGGCCAAAATGGCGGAGTAGTCAGATGCTTCCGGTGGTCCCTCTTACAGCAAAGACCTGAAAAAACAAGTGAATCGATTATATATGACAATCTAGGAGCCCTGAACATCAAAGGCAAAGTTCAGGAATTGGACTGAGTGGCAGGGGGAGGGAGAGATGGTTCAGAATCAGCGAGGAGTTGCCAGATGGGATTGGCTGGCATGCACGGTGAGGCAAGCAGTGACATTCAGGACTCGTTTTCCACATCGGGAGAGACCGAGCGGTGGAGAGTCTGCTCAGGCCTCCAGAACCGGTGAAAAGTACATGCATTTAACCTACCATGAGGATCAAAAAATCACCCCATTTGGGAAGAACCTCTCTCCCATTTACCTGCTCCTTCCCTACTCTGCACCAGGTCCCAGGCTGGCTTCAGCAATTTGATGTGTCCCCTGGGCCACAAGTAGGACCCGTCATGTGCCCTGAGCCATTCTCCCATCCTTGGAGAGGGAACCACTTTAACAAACAGGAAAAAATAATCTGCCAGCTCCCCTAAGCTAGAAACTCAGGGTGGCACAACTCCTTTGCCTAGGCACAGGCATAAGGGGTCCACGGACTTTGAATGCCTTTCACCCCTGCATAGATCTAGGTGGGCCCATTTCAACAGTGTAGGGCCTCATTAGCACAGTGCAAAGGGTATATACCTGAAGGCTAACTTCACTGTATCAGCTCTGTGGTGGAGTGGCAGGTTCGTGACATTTGACACCACTCTGCCCATTAAGCTGGGTCCTCACCTACCCACAACAGGGTCCTGAGGACTACTGGCTCCACCCATGCCACCTGCAACAGTGGTCCAAGAATAAGTGGTGCCTCAGTCCTTACAACCAACAGCATTGGGTGCTCATAGTCTGGCTGCAAAACCCAGCCATCTACACACTGTAGGGAACAGGGACACACTTTCCTCCCAGACACTCAGGGGCAGCCATCTGCCCCCTGCTTTGCTCAACACTTGACCACCTACTGCAGCTAGATACCTGTGCCTACACCAATCACCCCTGCCTATCTAGGACTGTAGGTGAGAGCCTGCACCACACACCTGGTGACCAACTACCTGGACACCTGAGCTGAATCCACACAAGAAAAGTAAACAGACTCCTGGGCTCACATACCTAGTAACAGATCTAACCACCTGGTGACAGAATGTTAAACCTTCAAAGGCACCAGTAATCAAACTAGTTCACACGAGCAGCCTAACTGGGCATATCAAAACAAGAAGCTAGGACACAGCAAGCAAACATAAAATAAATAAATATAATAACTTACTGATGGCTCAGAGATGACAGTCAATATCAAATCACTTAAAGAAGCAGATCATGATGACTTCAGCAAGCTCCTAAAACAAAGAATCAAGAAATTTTCCAGAGGAAGAGAAGTTCTTGGAATTACTGGAGATAGAATACAAAAGATTAATATACAGAACTCTTCAAGAGATAAGGAAGGAAATCATGCAAAATGTGGAACAATCCAAGGAACCCACAGACAAAGCAATAGAGGAACTTAAGAAGATTATAGAAGAGCATAACGACAAATTTAACAGGTTGCAAGAATCCAAAGAGAGACAGCAAACAGAAATCCAGAAGATTAACAATTAAATTTCAAAATTAGACAACTAAATAGAAAGTCATAGGAGCAGAATTGAGGCAACAGAAGTCAGAATTAGTGAGATTGAAGATAAAGCACTTGACAAGAACTTATTTGAGGAAAGATATAAAAGAATTAAAAAAAATGAAGAAACCCTAAGAATTATGTGGGACTCTATCAAGAGGAATAACCTATGAGTGATTGGAATACCAGAACAGGAGGGGGCGTGGGGTGAATAACAGAAAATACAGAGAGAATTGTCAAAGATTTGTTGGCAGAAAACTTCCCAGATAACATGAAAGAAGAGAAGATATCTATCCAAGATGTTCATCGAACCCCACACAAGGTAGATCCCAAAAGAAAGTCACCAAGACATATTATAATCAAACTTGCCAAAACCAAAGACAAAGATAGAATCTTGAGAGCGGCTAGGAATAACCAAAAAGTCATCTACAAAGGAGAGTCAATAAGAATAAGCTCAGACTACTCAGCAGAAACTATGCAGGCAAGAAGGTAATGGGATGACATATATAAAGCCTTGAAGGAAAAAAACTGCCAGCCAAGAATTATACATCCAGCAAAACTGTCTCTCAAATATGATGGCAAAATTAGGGCATTTACAGATAAACAGAAGTTAAGGGAATTTGTAAAAACCAAACCAAAATTGCAAGAAATACTAAAGGGAATCCTCTGGTTAGAAATTCAGTAACATCAGATAACAACCCAAGACTAGAACACAGGATAGAGCAACCAGGTATCAACCCAGATAGGGAAGTCACAAAAATAAATCAAAGCTAAAACACTGAAAATAGCAAAAGAGAGACATCAATATCTAAAAGGTGACAACATTAAAACAAAAAGGAGAGAATAAAAAAATGTAGTCATAGATCTTCCATATGGAGAGGAAGTCATGGCAATATAAAGAAATAAAAGAGTAGTTTAAACTTAGAAAAATAGGGGTAAATATTAATGTAATCACAAAGGAAACTAACAATCCTACACATCAAAATAAAAAAACCAGAAAAACATAAAGACTCAGCAAATACAAAATCAACAACAATGAAAAAAATGAAAAGAAAATACATCAAGAAAAACAACTCAACTCAGAAAATTAAGTGGAACAAAGAAACTGTGAACAACACACACAAAAAGACATCAAAATGACAGCACTAAATGCAAACCTATCAATAATTGTGCTGAATGTAAATGGACTAAATGCACCAATAAATAGACAGAGAGTGGCAGAACGGATAAAAAAAAAACAGGATCCATCTGTATGCTGCCTACAAGAGACACACCTTAGACTTAAAGATACAAACAAAGTAAAACTCAAAGGATGGAAAAATATATACCAAGCAAACAACACTCAAAAAAGAGCAAGAGTGACAATACTAATCTCTGACAAAATAGACTTTAAAGTAAAAGCCACCACAAAGGATAAGGAAGGACACTATATAATGATTAATGTGTCACTACACCAGGAGGACATAACCATAATAAATATTTATACACCCAATGACAGGGCTCCAAAATACATAAAACAAACTTTAACAGCTTTGAAAAGAGAGTTAGCTCCACAATAGTAGTAGGAGACTTCAACACACCACTTTCGGTGAAGGTCAGAACATTCAGAAAGAAGCTTAATAAAGACACAGAAGATTTAAATGCCACAATCAGTCAACTTGACCTTATAGACATATACAGAACACTTCACCCAACAGCAGACAAGTATACTTTCTTTTCCAACACACATGGAACATTTTCCAGAATAGACCACATATTAGGCCATGAAGCAAGCCTTAACAGAATCCAAAGTGTCGAAATATTACAAAGCATCTTTTCTGACCATAAAAGTGGAAATCAATAACAGAAAAAGCAAGGAAAAAAAAAAATCAAACACATGGAAACTGAACAACACCTTGCTTAAAAACTACTGAGTTATAGAAGAAATTAAGGATAGAGTAAAGAAATTCACAGAATTAAATGAGAATGAAAACACATCTTACCAGAACCTTTGCAACACAGCAAAAGCAGTGCTCAGAGGTCAATTTATAGCAATAAGTGCACACATCCAAAAAGAAGAAAGGGCCAAAATCAAAACACTAACCCTACAACTCGAACAAACAGAAAGAGAGCAGCAAAAGAAGCCCTTGGGCACCAGAAGAAAGCAAATGATAAAAATTAGGGCAGAATTAAATGAAACAGAAAATAGAAAAACAATTGAGAG